TCAACACAGGTGATTTCCGCGGCATGCCCAACAACTTGGCGCCTTCATGGTGTCCTGGCGGCCAGGTGTTCCCGATGAAGCGGTGTTCATCAAGGCCTTGGCATTCCTTGGTGCAACAGAGCCAGCCCGGGACGATTTGTCTCCCGAAGTCTTTGTGGTCCCCGTCACCTTGGTGGCCTGCGTGAACTCAAGTTGGGCAACCAGCTTGACCTTGACATACGCCATGAACTTGTGCACTTAGTTGCGAAGGTGTTTCTGGTCCAGATCAAGGTTCTTCTTGATGACTGCCTTGAGCGCGGGCGGGCGCCATGCGCTCGCGTTCCATCGCAGCTTCACGCTCCCGATCACGGCGCAATAATTCGGCAACTTGGGATTCCTACTGCCGAGATACCATGAGGGCCTTTCGGGCCTCATCAGTTGCGATTTGTTCATGAGTGTGGTAATGCTGCAACTGTCATCTGCGCCACCCGCATCGCTTGCTCTTTTCCGGCTTGTCTAGCCGCCTTGAGCTCTTACCGCAGCGCAAGTCCAGCGCTTTGCATGACACGTTCTTGACAGACACCCGGGTCAACTCCGCAGCCTGGGCAATAATCTGTTCGTCCCTTCGTGCTCGTTCCAACTCAGCTAGAGCAGGAACATCCGCAATCTGCTGATAACGATGGTGCACTTCTTGGGACCGGACCATCGCCGGAAACGGACCAAGTGACGGTCGAGTTATGACATGGGGCTGGAACCGGTACTCGGCTGAACAACCTCAACGGAGGATCTTCAGCTACCACAAGCCAGTCCTCCACACTGCTCATAGAGGACGTAGCTTCGTCTTCATAGTCAATCTCCTGGCGTCTTGCTTGGAGATTGATCCAGGGCTGAGCTTCGCCATCCCGGTAGTACCCGCCTTCAGGGAGCGTACGGTCAGAGAGCTGATCGCTGGAGCCTTCCATCGACCAGGAGTTGTTCAACCGCGATAAACGACTAATAAATTTATTGTTGTGTTCTGGCACGCGCAGTCGGTAACCACTGCTGAAGCCCGCGTCCTTGTGCTGGGGATAATCTTGCTTGGGCAACTGATGTATTAGAGAGATCGCGACAGAGGGGCGTGGAACAACAGAGCAAATGGAGGGGTTGCATGGAACGATAGAGCAACTGGAATCCGGGACGGGTTCAGAGCCCGGCACTTCACGTTCGTATGCTCCAGGACAATACAACTGCCTGGGATGGTACTCCGGGATTGGTTCTAAACCCAGGACTTCACATTCCTGAAATACTGGACGACACGACTGCCTTGATCCAGCAACAGGCTGGGGGCTTGGACAATACTTAGAGGATGCAGACACATACAACACCGGGCACCGATGGTTATTGCTTCCCAACTATAGAGAATCCAGCGCTCATTCTACTAGTAATCCACACGCAAATCTTTTTATGTATGTACATATACTACCTTTACTACGACTTCTTGTTTTACCACCTTGTTCGAGAACGAGCCACTCGCGGAGCTTCTTGGCGCGGGTGACACCACGATAAACGGCAATGACGCTGGCACACACTGCTGGATGTCCGAATCACATGCATCACATGTTGGAATTTCTCTGCAATTGTACTTGGCCAATCATTTTTTAGCACGCCAAAACCCGACAGAAATAAATTCAACAAAATTGAAATCTCGAAAATCGCTCGAATCAAGTTCTCGACTACTCGGAGTAGTTTCTGCTAGTTGTGCACGAAACGAACCCTTGCACGATGGTGTAGGAAGTGGTCGAAGCTTGCTCGAACTTGGGCTCGTTTGATCATGCCCCAAGCCTCGATCGCTCGCTGAATCAGTACAAGTCTCTTCATTTGGACAGTAGGTGACATCCGCTCTCGTTGTCTCCGTGAATCCTGTCCTCATCGATCCATAGACGCAAGTAGCGTGCGACCGGCGCCATGATATCTCGACGCCCCGGGGTTGGCCATGCGACGTGGTGTTGGCAGGTCCGGGTGTCGATGCGTTGTTGTGTCATCGATGGATGCGTCAAAAAATCTATTCAAGATGGCGCATGTTACGTTCGCGGGCTTTACATTGTCAAATTGGAGCATTATTCTGTGCATCACTCGACGAATTACACTGTGTCCGAGTCGTCCAAGACCTTGGAATACTTTTTCTTTCGGGGACCAGTCGCCCATCGTCCTAGCGCCGCCTTGGCCGCGTTGGAGTTCCCCGTCCACTTGCGGACTTCGTCGACGAAAAATACAGACGACGCGATCGCTGTCATGTACGCGAGATCTCCCACACTCAACGCTTCTGTTTGGAAGATCGCCTGGAGGAACGGGACGTAAATGACCATGAGCTGGCCGACGAGCGACGCGCCGACTGCGATGCAAAACGCCGCGTTGGAGAACCACCCGATGAAAAAGACCGACTTGGTTTCGTGGCGACAGCTCAGCGCGTTGAACATGTCAAACAGCACAAACGTAGTAAACGACATGGTGCGGTCTCGCTTGGTGACTTGCCAGTCGTCGTCGAGCTCGTTCACAAACACAAACAACGTCCCAGATACAATGACAAGTGCCGACACAGCGATCCGCTTCAGCATCGCTCGAGTGATGATCGGGATGTCCGCGGCGCGGGGCCCTTCACGCATCACATCACCGTCCACGGGCTCGACACCGAGAGACTGCGCCGGTGGGCCGTCCATGATGATATTGATCCAGAGAATTTGCATCGCATTGAGCGGGTTCGGCAGGTCAAACAAGGTCGAGAACGCCACCAAGCTCAATGCCGCGACCGACGTGCTGAGCTGGAACCGCAAAAAGTGCGTAATGTTGTGATAGATGCCCTTGGCTTCTGCCATCGCGTGCAAGATCGTGGTCAGGTTATCGTCGAGGAGAATCATATCCGACGCTTCTTTCGACACATCCGTGCCAGTCGTGCCCATGGCGATCCCAATGTCTGCTGCCTTTAACGCTGGTGCATCGTTGACACCGTCACCTGGCCACGGTGGTTAGAGCACTCGTCTTCATCGCTAACGCTTCGCCTCAACACACGGCGTACGCTGGTTTCGACCACGCAAGCGGCATTCATGTAATCCGCACAAACGATGCACTCAAAGGCAGTAGCAAAAGTAGACAAGCCACGTCAAGGGGCATCGACTTCAAAAGAATGGCAGTCCATCATGCGAAATTACATGAGGCCAGCACGTGGAATGGGACGGCGACCCCACGAAGGCGGGCCACCCGCACGCTGCGAGCCACACATTTCGAGCGTACGGCACACAAAGAAGGACGGTGCATCTCGTGAGACCTACCAGTCATGGCGACTTGCGACTTGTGCGCTTGAAATGCTCGCACGATCTTCAGCTTGTGAGTTGGACATGTGCGGTAGAATACCCTTGTCGTGAGAACCTTTTCCCGCACCTCTTCGTCTGTCATCGCGTCCAGTTCTTGGCCCGAGCACACACCAACGCTGTCGCTGGACTGCAGGAGCTTCGCAGCCTCTGCACTCGCTTCGTCGGTGGGCTCGGTCGAATCGGTCAGAATCCCGACTTGGGCGGCAATCGCGCTCGCCGTGTCCAGGGCATCGCCCGTCAGCATCACAGTCGTCACGCCACAGCTGTCGAGTTTTCGAATCGTCTGGAGGACTCCCGGGCGCGGCGGATCCGAAATGCCCACGAGGCCGAGAAAAATCATGTTGGACTCGATGGAATTGCTGCCGACAGCAAGTGCCAAGATGCGTAGGCCACGACGAGCCATCGTGCGCGCTGTTTGCGAAATGAGGTCCTTGTCCGGCGGCAGAAGGTCATGCTTGGTAAACGAAGCGTCTTGGTACTGAGAACACCGTGGGAGCACGGCTTCCAGCATCCCCTTCACGTGCCACTCGTTCGTGCGTTGGGGGGTTGCAACTTGGACCGCCATAAACTTGGAATCCGAACTGAATGGGATTTCTTGGAGGCGGGGGTACTGTTGCCGCAGAATCGTCGCGTCACTGAGACCCACCTATCCCACATGATGCAGTTAAACGCGCCCTCATCCGACCTCTCGCGCTGCACGAAAACAATGACGGCAGTTCGTGGAATATGCACCTGAGTTGCCGCCAGTACGATCGCGCCTTCCGTCGCCTGCCCGACAACGTCGCCGTCGACGATTTCAGCATTGCTGCATAGCACTCCGCTCACAAAGATCGGGCTGAATGTCGCCTTGAATGATCCGTGCGAGTTGGTGGCCGATGGATCGGGCAGCGCGAGTGGGGTCGCCCCCAAGCCCGGAAAAAACACCTCGACGACAGCCATTTGGTTGGTCGTAAGCGTTCCGGTTTTGTCGACGCACAAGATGTTGGTACATCCGAGCGCTTCGACTGCTGGCAATTTCTTGAGAATCGCGTGACGCTTTGCCATGCGCATGACTCCTGCGGACGCCGCACGTCAGCGACGTGAAACGAAGCACGAATACCTCGCATCCTCGACCTTACGTGTGTAAGAGCGACGTACCCAGAGCCAGCGTTACTGTTACGCAAATGGGCAGTCCTTCGGGAATCGCCGCTACGGCCAAGCTCACGCCGATCTGAAGCATCTTGAACAGAGGTTCGCCTTGAGCAACGCCGAGCAATACGATGACACCGATGACCCCCAGCGACACCATGCTCAGTTGATGTGCCAGGGCATCCATTCGTTCTTGGAGCGGTGTCTTGCGCTCTTCGACGTTGTCGACGACGTCAAACACAAGCCCAAACTCGGTGTGCCTTCCTGTGCTATACACGATGGCTTTGCCGCGGCCACCGCGGACGAGGGTTCCCATATACACCAAGTTCTTTCGCTCGGCAATAGGGTGGAGATGGGCGGAATGGATCGGCTTGGTGTGCTTTGTGACCTAGGGACCCCACACACAGTAAGGGCACTCTGAACGAGTTTGTAGGGTGTTGTGAGCAACATTACCACGTGCGTCTCGCCCGTCAAGCTTGACTCATCTACGTCCAAGTCGATGGCTTCCACTAATCGCGCGTCGGCGGGGATGCGATCGCCAGTCGATAGAACCACGACGTCGCCAGGGACAAGGTCGGATGCGTCGATCTAGAGCCGTAAAATGGTATTGACGGAGAAAGGTTTCGTAGGTCGAACGTACTTCACAAGTTTGACCGTCACGGACGGCCCTTGCTCGTGGAGGCACGAGTTCCTTGAGCGCGTCCAAGGTCTTTTCGCTTCGATACTCCTGAACGAATGCGACCGTGACGACGATTGTCAACGCAACGACGATGGAAATCGCGTCGTCAAGGTGCCCCATCAAAACCGACACTCCACCAGAGCCAACGAGCAGCAGATTGAGTGGGTTCTTGAACTGGTCCAGGAACTTCATCACAAGCGATTCCGGTTCGTCGTTCTCCAGGACGTTCCGACCGTACTGCTTCTGTCTATTGCTGATCTGAGCGAGACCGAGGCCTTGTGTGACATCTACGTCGAATTCCTTGGCGACATCTTGGCACGAGCGCGACGCCGGCGTCGTCGGAGTTGGCGCGGCGCCGTCGTCCTCTGACACGTTGACGACATGTGCCGCCATTGTGTTGCCCACTTTGCTCTCCCGGATGAAAGCGATCGGATTGATTTCTCACTATTCAAACAACAAGATGATTTAAATCGAAACCTTGTATTCCCTCATAAACATTCCATTGGCTATAATTCTAAATATGTTACATTATCCCCCAATCAAAACGCGACAACAAGATGGCAAGAAATCGAATGCTTTCTTTGAGAGTTACACGACATTAATGCGTCGATC